CTGACGAGCAGCTTGTTTTGCATGCGGCGAGCTGCGCGTCTGTCTTTTATTTCTGTGCATTCAAAGAAGGATCACACAAACAACGGGACGCGGCCTGATTATAAAAGAACGCTATGAATTATCTGATCGTTTTGGAAGTTCAGACGCGGCCGGGATGTGGAGTTGCGTCTGTGCGCTAATTAAACCCGAACTTGATTGCGTGTGATACTCACCGATCCGAATCGCCGTCCGTCTCTTTCTTCATTTGATAAGTTTGTTTAATTAATGCCACGACGCCACTTCGACAAATCTTTCTCTAAAACCTTCGACGGTTTCGGTGGATGCCAGAGAATTTTCCTTAAGTGGTGCCGCACCGCAATAATTTGTAATTGTCTGTTTCAGGACCGCTGCTTTTTGACTCATTTTGATTTATTATCCGAGCTCGCAGATCGTTGGCAAATCCCAGCGAGAGACTGAGCAGCGTGTGGTTAAAAGGCAGCGCTGGTGTTGCCGGCCGTGTGGTGAGATGCTGCAAACTGAATGAAAGGACTGATATTAATTTAAAGACGAACTTGGTGAGAGGTTTTCTCTCTCTCTGTGCCAGTTTGTTTGTTACTGTGAACTCGTTACCCGCGGCTTTACAGCGAGCTGGACGAGTGAAATAACGAATTAAGATTAAGTATGCGTTCAGTGTGATGAAAGTCAAAGTCTCTTATTGTTCATGACGACTTTTATTGTCTCGTCTTTCTTCTGTATGTTCTCATTTTCCTGAATAAATCCCTATAATGACAGCATAATTACACTAATAATAATAATAATAATTAAACCTGCAAGCAGCGATGGACGGGTCCTTGCCGTATGCTTGTCGGCCTTCGTGCATGTCGGGTTGTGGCACAAGCGTGCTCCGGGCGGGAGTCTGATCCGGCGTGTCGAGTTTGGGGCAGATTGGAGCACGTGCGGCCTCGTTATGAGCCACTTCCTGTTTAATGGCGAGCTGCGGTGGCCGTGGTGGAACCGCGATCTGGCTGAGACTTGGAGCACACGTGTAAAGTTCCAGGCCGATCGGAGCACGTACCGGCCGGTTACACAGCACGTCTCGTATTCTGGGGTTTTACGGTGTTGTGACCAAACTCCAGGGGGCGCCATTTCCACGCCGTCAGACTTTCGCAAACCATAACTTTTAATCATCACCTCCTGTAGTTTGTGCCGGCCACATTTCAGCTAATGGACTTTTTTTTTGTGCGTCACGAGTTGCTACATACGTGTGCCGAATTTGTAGGTGAAACATAGCCGCGATGGGACTCTGTTGAAATACTGTAGGGGGCGCTGTTGAGTCGTGTTGCATTTTAGAGCTTGGCACTGCCCGACTTTTTTGTTCGTCCTGACCTCCTCCGTATACCTACCAAAAGTCGTAGCTCCGGGTCAAACGTGCTTCTGATGGGACTCCGTTGAAATAGTCAAGGTGGCGCTATGGAGCCAGTTTGGCAGTGACATGTCCACGTCCATTAAAATATCACATTTTTCACCAGTCCTGGTGTGTGTGTGGTGGTTTTGGTGAGTTTTCATGCATGTTTAGGCCCTCGAATTTGAGTTTTATTTTGTGGGAGAAAAATAATAATGATAGTAATAATAATAATAATAATAATAAAACCCAGGGGTTCCAGTAGGTTCCTTGCTCTGTTAGTACTCGAACTCTGTGACACTCTGGATGCTCTTTGGTTCTGCTTTACGATTCTGGGACGAGAAAAGCCCACGTTGGTATTTTATGCAGAACACAACAAACAAAACATCGCTGCAATTGTTGAGGCAGACGACTGGAGCATCAAAGGCTTTAAAAAAAGAAGAAGGTTTGTCATTTGGGATGCAGTAAAACAAGCGTGTTCGTGTGTTTGTGTCTCTGCCTAACTGCGTATCTTAATTAGAGATTAAAGAAGTCTGTCTGTCCTCTTCGAGGTAATCTGAGATCCAGAGAGGAGGGTTTTTATTTTTCTGTACATGTCAGATTTGGTGTTTCTCTCTTATCTTTATTTTAAAGATGAAGAAGCGTCATTATTAAACTTGAGATGCATTTAAAGTGTTTAAACTCTTCCCTCTTTGTCTGAGCCGTCACCGTCTATCCAGTCATCTTCTCGGTTTGAACCTGGACGAGCCCGTTTAGACGTAGACCCGGTGTCACCTGCGCTCGGCGGTGTTTCCCCCCCACACGCCTACAATTTAGCAATTTTCAGATCAGTTACTGTCAGTTACTGAACTCGTTGGCAGATTTTAGAGTCAGAGATCTTTTATTAACGCTGACAAGGAAAACATGTTTTGCTCAAAGCTTCAAAGGCTTTAATACACGCACACACTTAGTCATTAACAAAGAGCACGTCGGCCTGGAAAGTGGACTCGACTGGTTGTGGTGAATCACAAAAAAAAAAACATCAGAAAAGGTCAAAGACGAACAGAAATACCATTTAAAAAGTAGTCAAGACGTACATGACGGGAACAGCTTTGTTCTACTTACATTATTTTAGTTTTCCAGTTTTATATGTCTGGAGGTGTCAGAATTCATTTCAATTTTTTTCCTACCTCCCCTATTTTGCTTTAACTAAGCTTACTTTCAATTTAAATATGCTTCATTTTACAATTTTTCCACTGTGAACACACCAAATACTTAAACCGTGCTTACAGTTAGCGTGTCGTATGAAGTTGGGACACACTGTTTGTTTCCAACAGACAAATTGTTTGGATAGAAGCCATTATCATCTAGTTTTGATCCAAGTTTCGCTCACCTGGAAAGCGGTTTCTTACCTGTTCAGTTCTCTGACTGCTCGTCATTCTTCTTTATAGCAGCACTAGTGAGTACAGTTGTTCTACAGGTGGTGATGCTGAATGAAAAACAGAACTGGAAATGGTTTGGAAAACTCATATGACAATACCGGTGAACAAACACGCCATACTGTCTAATAAAAACCTTGATAATTAGCTAAAATCACAGATTAACAATAAATTTAACCCTTATTAAAGGTTTGGTTAGTTTTAGATGCAAAACAGCTTGCCTAGATTTAGAGAAAAGTTGTTTTTGGGTTAAAGTAATGGAGACTCTGATGAGGCCAGAGTGCTGTGATGGCGGCGGTAGGGCTGGGCGATACGGCAAAAACATCATATCACGATTTTTTATTATGAAATCACGATTTCAGTTTTATCACGATCTTACATGTACTTTTGAGACTAATTTTTAAGTTTCTGGTCAGTGCAACCAAAACCATTTCTGTAAAACAGTCCTAAAAGAAAAAAACAAAACAGACCATTTATGCCAAAGAACAGATTTTAATTTAAATAGCTGCAGTTTTGCCAACAAGAACATCTGAACCCGTCGTTTTCTACCGTCCTGAACGGAACCACATCTCTTGCAAGATAAAAACTAACTGCTGCTGTTACCTCTTTCCACCGCTTGCTTGTCTTCTTGTATGGAGCACCTTCATCAAATGTTAACGTTTGGGTCCAGCTGCTGCCTGTGGCGGCGGTGCTGCTGGCGGTCCGGTCGCTGTTCGGCTCTCAGCAAACTGTTTAAGGGGCTTTCTCTTCAAGTGATTGAACAAGTTTGTCGTGTTGCCGTCCAACGTGCAAACCGTCTCTGTGCAAACTTTGCAAATTACCTTTGCACTTCGTCATTTGGGAAAAAGCCAAAATAACAATTTTCTAATATTGTCATACGGCACACCTCGAGGCTACGGTAATAAACAGGTAGTTATAGTGCAGTCTTTCTGTCTGACACAGATAAAAAAAAAAAAAAACTTGATCTCACATGTTAAGCCAGTTTATCCAGCCTATCCATCCACCCTGACCTCCTCCCTACACTCCCTGTGGCTCTATTCTTCTTCTGATCCTGTCAGAATTACACCAGCAGATGGTTCTGAGTCTGAACGTGTTTTTTTTTAACTTGCGCTGCCTCGTTAAGTGATAGAAGTGAGTTTACATCCTAACAAGCCTCTTGCACAAAAGACGCATGCATTTGCTGTTTCGGAGGGTCTGAAGCAGAGTCCTGTCATCACTTATGTTGTCATAGAAGCAATTTAACTCTTTGAAATTCTTTGACCTCCTCCACTTACCCCTGACACGACGCTTGGAAACTTTTTTTTCAGGAAATTGTTGTTGTTTGTCATCCTCTGTGGTGTTGCAGAGGGTCAGTTCAATTCCCCTGGAAACTTTTTTTTTTCTTCTCCCCCCCTCAAACCCTCAGAACAGATGGCAAAGCCAAGGATGAGGAGGCAAATAATCAAACAGCAGAGTGCTTCACTAAAGCTAAGTCATTCAGTTAATGGGATTTTCCCAGTGTTGTCAGTGCAGACGGGATGCCTCGCTATCGATCTGTGTCACTCACCTCTGATGAGTGCTGATCAAAAACCTATTTAAAACCTGCCATCTCTTATTGCCTGCCAGATCATGAGGATGGAGGAGGGTTTAGTGGAGCTGAGACAAATGAAGGGAAGGGGAGGAGAGAAAAAAAAGAGACAAAGAAAGACCTCAGAGGAGAAGAAGGAAGGTAGAGGAGCAGCTCGCAAGTCAGATCTTCCAAAACCGATCGGCTCAATGCGCATCAATAATCAATATAAGTTTAGATTTGTATAACAAGCTCTGGTTACAGCCACCACTACTATCTCTGCCTCCACACTGACACTCAGATACGTGGCTCTGTAGCAGTAAACGTTTCTAATCGCGCTCCTTCATGGTCTTCATGGCACAAAGGAGCACTTGAGCGATGACGCCGCCTGCACCGTGTCTGTATTTTTAATCATTGTTTACACAGATATAGTCGAACACCAAGAGCTGCTGGCACTGAAATAACTCCTCAGATGTTCTACCTTGGGAAGCGTACGTTTTGGATGTATGTATATATATATATGTGTGCATAGAGACACAGTATCCACAGACAGTAAACACCAACAGGTGTCCGACCCTCTCAGCAGCATTCTTGGAGTCCTTGAAATGCCTGGAATGAACTGTGCTGAACTCTCTGTCTACTGTTTCCCCTCCAGGACTGGCTGAGTAAGTTTGGCTACCTCCCGCCCCCCGACCCAGTGACTGGCCAGCTCCAGACCAAGGAGGCCCTCACCAAGGCCATCAAAGCCATGCAGAAGTTCGGAGGGCTGAAGGAGACCGGGATTTTAGGTATGTCGGGCCGATCGAGAGCCGTCGCTTTCGCTAATCCGCCGGAGCGCTCGTGACATAATGCAATCCAATCACGAAACAGCCTCAGACATTTCCATAGAGTGGAATCAGCAGAACGCTCCGACACAATCACCCTCTCCTCTCCTCTGCTGTCGTCTCCAGACCAAGCCACCCTGGGCCTCATGAAAACACCCAGATGTTCCCTGCCAGATGTGTCCGAGGCCGAGGGGACGATGGGGCGCCGGAGACGGAGCCTGACTCCTCAGAACAAATGGAACAAAAGACATCTGTCCTGGAGGTAGGGAGCCACAAAACACGAGCCCGACCCAGTTGGCGCCGGAGCAAACATATCAATCCTGTGGGTTTGAAAGGCTTCTTATCTCTTATTCGAAAATAACCTCCAGGAATTGTCGCCGTGCACTTTCGTCAGAGAGCTACAGCACATCTAAACCTCCAAATCATCATATTGTATTAAAATCACATTATTCTGTTTGCCTCAAGTAAAAAAAAATAACAAAAATAAACGGTTTGCGGTAACTAGATTCTGTAAAAATGAAAAAATTCTGTGTTTCTTGTCACAACTGGGTATCCATCACTGAGTCCGCTACGACCAAAAGTCAGGTGAAGAAAATTCACAGAGTTTTTGACTGAATTAGGCTGAACTGCAGGCAGTGGAGCCGCCTTTTATTTCTAGTGTGGGAACATCTGTGGGCACTTGGAGAAATTTACATGATGATTCCAGGTTTTTCTTAATTTTTGAAAAGAAAAAAATGAATGTAAATGTTTTTATTTTTGTTTTAGATAGATTTATGGCATTATAATGTAGTTATACTGCATAAAAGACATCCTAGGGTGCTTCTAGCTGTAGTTATGTTGTTTCCATAGAGGTGCGTTACTTTATTTTACAGTGAAAAATAAGATTACAGTAACTAAATAATATGACAGGAACAAAAACCATCCAGAAACAGATGTGGTTCAGACACGGTTAATGTCCATAGATATAATACAATACAGTCTTATGATGTTAGGATGGTGTGGAAATACTCATATCCACAGAAAACATACACTACTAGTACTAATTTGATCCAGTTTTTAGTTTGTGTTCATTTCAAACACACGATGTCACTTTCAAGGCTCAGACTAGTTTATGTTTCAGCTTAACTCGTGGTTCTGATCCGTCCACTGCAGTCCTGCACAGACTCAGTCCAGTGTCGCGTCGTTACGGTGCATCGGCAGTAAGTCTGCATTTCCAATCATTTTTCCCATCTGCACGTCCTTTTGATATACGAGAGGACGCCACCTCCAGCTAGAAATCTTCTGCTCTCCGGATCAATTCTGGCTCAGAAGAAGGGCATTTCGTGAAAGCGGTGGTTCTGATTAGAGAGGCCTTTAACAAACAACAAACAAGCCTGTCCTCTCTGAAGATGCGCAGAGATTTCTCAGGACTCCTCATTAAATTTTTACAATAAAGCGTTCCCTTGGTACTGCAGCAAGGTGCAGAAAGTTCATGAAAAGATTTTATATAGTCTCATTAAGCAGAACGTCGAATGGTTTAGCCACGCCGCGCTGCAGTAATTAGAAGAATGCTCCAAAGAAAATTTGTCTTATATCAATTTAGCTTTAGTTCATCTCGAATTGATTTGTTAATTACAGCGGATTCAGATGGTGACCCCGAGTCACCGCAGAGCAGCTGCAACAGAAGCGTAGTCATCCTCTGTTGACATTTAAATGCATGTAGAGTCCAAACGTGTTCCCCGTCCAGTCGTGATGTTAAGATTCTCCAGCAAAAGTTTTGTATTTAGCCATTTATATATATAAATATATATTTAGCATGAAACCCTCTGAATTCTAAGTAATTTCTGTGGGTTTTTTGGGGGTTTTTGTTGTGCACCCGTCACGTTTTTACTCAATGTGGGCTAATTTTCTTTACTGCAACACAAAGTCCTGCACGTCCAACCCTGGCTAGAAGGAGAGAGAGCTCCAAAATGTTGTTATAATGCCATAAACCATCCATCATCTCTACACCTTAATCTTCACTAGGGTCATGGGGGTGACTCAGGGTGAAGGCAGGTTCACCTGGACAGGTAACCAGTCTATCACAGGGCTACACTTAGAGACAGACAACCAAGCACACTCACATTCACACCTACGGACAATTTACCATCACCAATTAACCTCTGGACTGTGGGAGGAAGCCGGAGAACCCGGAGAGAACCCACGCTGCACGGGGAGAACATGGAGACTCCACGCAGAAAGATCCCGGATGTCCTCACCGGGACGCGACCTTCTAGCTGTGAGGCGACGGTGCTAACCACTGAGCCACCGTGCAGCCATTAACCATAAAAACGAAAAACATGAAGTTGGATTTCTTTGATTAATTACTTTGCAAAAGTTGAAAAAACTTCAACATGTACACAGTTTCTCCAGCTGCCTACTGGAAAACAATGGAGACTTTACACACAGTTATTAATTCACTACTTACATTCTTAATCAGTTTCCTGACTCGTTTCCGCTCTAAACACCTCTATAACTTCTATAAACACAGCCTGCAGTTCAGCCGAGTTCAGCCAAATCCCTATTTTTATGGAATCGTGTTTGAGTTTTTTTTTTATTTTTGCCCTGGGGCTTATCATTTATATGTCTTTTTTTCATAAAATCCTGATTTTAAGCCTCAATTTGGCAAATATTTCCAACAGAGCAGCACTTTACAGATGAGTAGTTGAAGGTTAATAGCTGAAAATTCAACCATTCTTTCTGTTATGACAGTTTTTAGCCAATAAACGCTGTAATTTGTCATTTAAAAAACAACAACATGCTTTTTGAACCTGCTGGTGAGTTTTTCAGATCAGAGGTTTAACATAGTTTGGAACACGGTGACCCACAGCGGTGGACAGAGAAACAAGGCTCATAGTTGTTCCTAAATGTTTTTCTTGCAGCAACTGTGGAAGAAGTTTAAGAGTTTTTTATTGATGTTTAGGAACACATTGAATCCGTCCTGATCAAAGCTGCCTCTCTTTGGGAGACGACGGCTACAAACTTTTTCACAGCAGCCCTTGGAGCTGTTAGCACTTGTTAAACTCCGGTGTCGCGGCGCAGGTAGTGAAGGAGATGATTTATTGTCCCACTGTAAATAACATTAAACTTTATGACGGCACCGGGCGCCGGTGAGCTCGGCTCGGCGGGATCCGTCTTCTGCTGCAGTGTCGTTTCGCTGAAGGGAGCCGGGACCTGAAATGTTGGTTTTTATTTAGGTTATCGTTGACCCTCGATGAAGATATCCTTTCTGCTTTTTGCTTCTTGGTCCATCTGATCATACGGAGCATTCATTTGGAGTGTTTTTGTAATTTGACATTTGATAAAACGTGGTCATCCATGACCATGTGAGAAGCCACGATGTGACAGCGGAGGAGGAAGCAGCGGTACATACGGTCGCCGATTTGCTGTGATTCAACCTGAGCTGGTGTGTGGGCCAGCGTGTGAAGAGGAAGTAAAAAAAACACACACATGCACAAGTAGATCAATTGTACATTCATATACACATAGGTGTGCGTCGCCTCCCTCTCGGCGGGCTTTAACTTGCTTTGTCTTCTTTGTGCCGCTGCCAATCATCCGCGGCGCTCCCGTCAGCTCGCTGCTCTCACAAATAAGACAGTCTTCAGTCCAGCAAAGCACCTTTTGTGTTTGGCAGCACTCTGAATTGTAGAACAGTGCACAGGAGCGGTTGTGGATTATGCGCCGGCTTCAGATCCGGAGAGATTTTCATACGGTACAGATTTTCAGTAAAGCGCCGTATCAAAGCATTGATATTCTGCATAGATTGGCCTCCGCTCCAGTCCTCCTGGTGTGTGTGCGTTCTCCTTCTGTTTACAGCTGATGTTGTAGGTTTGCCGCTTGCATAGCAATTCCCTCACTCCTGGGTTTGGTTGTTGTTTTGTTTTTTTTTCATCATGTTATACTTCACGGTATCTCTGCCTCATTAGATTATATGGGTGAGCAACACGGCTGACAGAATGGAGATAATACGCAAAACAGCTAATGAGCCAGATGTAATGTGATAACCATGTCCGCCTCATCAGCCAGATTAAAAATATTACTGTTTGTATCTCCGCAGTGTGCACGGAGCATCCAGATATCGCCTTTAACTCTTTCATTTTGTCGCCTGTGTGCAACCAAAAACAGTGGTTGATTAATCATGTGTTATTAATCACACGTATGAGCCGCCGCCGCCGCCGTCACGCTCCCCACCGAGAAGAAGATGAATCCCAAATTTTTATTGACGGTTTTGCAGTTGTGACAAGAAGTCCGACATCAAACGCACATTCATTGCAAAGGGCAGGGTTATTCCATTCCAATAAGACAAGGAGGAAAATAAAGGTGTTGAAAGAAAAAAACAAACAATTCTATGAATATTTTTAAACCTGCAGCAGCGGCGAAGGTGCAGAGCCGCTTTCAGCAAAACACAGGGGTTCAAAACCGCAATAATATACAATATATAGACGGGAATCTGTGAAATATCTTGAATTTCTACATGTAGGAGACAATATCAACAGTATTTATGTATATTTCTTGTTTATTCTTGTTGTTCTGCAGACTTCCCGACATGTCTGCTGCAAAGTTTTAAATAGACTTTCACATACGAGCACTTTGACAGTAAACGTGTAGAAATAAGAAGTCAGTAGACAGCAAGTGTTCCAAGACAAACAAGCAGCAAATACAAGAGATTATAAGTCATTAAAAGTAATGGCGGTATTTCCAGTGTGCAGGAATGTGCAAATTAGTCGCCGGAGAATTCTCTGTGGGATTAATGGAGGATTATTTTATCTGATCATC